TATATATATATATATATATATATAATTTTTTTTCTTCCTATTATTAACATTATTTGACCAAGATGTCACAAATTCATACAAAGTAGAGCAGATGAACATTTAAGCTGCACTCTTCCTCTCAGGTCAACAGACAGGGTTGTGTTTGTGCTGCAGACTGTCTATCTGTGGGTTCTGACCACGTTCTGTCCCAGAGAGCAGGCCCAGAACAGGTCGGCACAGTGCCGACGCAAACCAGCTCTCAAACCTGGCAGCTTGCCGGAGGAGTGGACGGAAAGAATAATACGCCTTCACAGGAGGCTACTTTCACTTCGAAGGAGAATGTGATCACCAGTTTTTGATTCTGGGAAGTAATAAGCTCATTTTTTACAGTGAAGTACTGAAGATGTCTTTTTTTTTATCATGCTCAAACTAAAATCAAATAAAGAAAGAAGACTGTCTGGAAAACATCCTGTTTGTTTGAACCAATCAAATGCACCGTTCATGTTTATCTAAATTTACACAAAATCCTGTCAGAACACCAAACTTCAACATATTCCTCTCTGGACGCCTGACCCCTGATCTGACTGTATGTTATAGTACAATGCAATCAAAGTCCTTCTTAAAGCAATTTATGACACACTAATTAAAAGTCTAGCTTTCCTTAAAGGAACGCATATCGCCAACTGCCTTTCATGCCAGCAAATTAAATTCATCTTACATTGAAAAATGACAGTTATATTTGTTTAACCATAAAAATCTGTCATGTTCATCAGTTATCTGTTCTCAGCTGGAGTGCATGTTGTGAATGGCTGTCAGCGACCTCAACAGCAAATTTTAGCTTCATGTCTGTAAAATCTACTAAAGTGTAGACAGCTGTGTGTTTTCTCAGGTGTGTGAGCTGTGGCAGCCATCTTAATTTGAGCTGAGTTTAAAATGTATTCAGTTTTGTCAACTCATTGATTACTTTCAGTAAGTTTTAGTGGAGAGGCAGTTTAAGTCCAAGGCCGTGGTTCTCAATGAGAAACGGGTGGAATGCCCACTCTGAGACAGGGTTTTGGAATTTAAATATCTGGGCAACTTGTGCGGGTGATGGGACAGAGCGGGATATGGATTGACGGATCAGGGCCTCGTCTTCAGTATTTATTAACCTTTATTTAACCATGCAAATCCCATTGAGATCACAGATCTGTTTTGTAAGGGAGGCCTGGGGCTGGAGGCAGACTAACATGCATGTTTATGGTCTGTGGGAGGAAACCGGAGTACCCAGAGAAAACCCACGCAAGCACGAAAAGAACGTGCAAACTCCACACAGAAAGACCCCAGGTCCAACCGGGGATTGAACCCAGGACCTTCTTGCTGTGAGGCAACAGTGCTAACCACTGAGCCGTCGTGCTGAGTAATGAGGTTGTTGCTCTGATTGGTCGTGGTGACGAAAGAGTTGAGCTGAAAAGCAGAGCTCTCCATTTACTGGTCTGTTTGTAATCCAGTCCTCACCTACAGTCATGAGGTACGGATCATGATCAAAAGAATGAGATCTTGTGTACAAGTGGCTGAAATGAGCTTCCTTTATACGATGGCTGGACTCAGCCTTGAAACTTCGGTCATCCGGGGGAGCCTGGAGTAGAGCCTCTGCTTCTTCCAAGATGGAGGTTTTTCAGGCATGTCCCATTGGGAAGAGTCCTGGGGATAGACCTGGAACTTGCTAGGAGGATACATCCTCTCAGTTCCAGGAACGCCTTGGGAGGAGGAGCTGGACAGTGTTGCTGGGGAGAGGGATGTCTGGGAGTTCTTGCTGGACAAGTGACCTTTGCAACCTGATGGTAGAAGAAGGCCATGGAGATAGAGACGTTTCAATGGTTCATGTGATAATTTGCAAGCAAACATAAACAGACGGGAACAAAGATGGCAGCGGGTTGGAGATAAGGAGCGGACATAGGGATACCTGAATGGGCGGGGCCGGCCCCGCCCATTCAGGTATCCCCATGTAAATAAACTGAACCTTGGTGACTCAAGACAACCATCAGAGGGTGCTGTATGCGATTAAACTGGACTTTTAGAGGCGGTAAAGAAGACTAGTTTTCCATCTGCTAATAACAATACTACAAGAAGAAGAAGGTAAAGAAGACACTTTGATAATGTAATGTGTCAAACTGGACATCAGAACTTGGCTTAACAAAATCAAGAGCAAAGGCACAAGCAGGGACGATGCAGGAGAGGTTCATGTACAGTTGCCTTCAAGTTTCTGGTGTTAATGTGTTTCAAACACAATGATTGATGCTACTTTCTAAGATTCATGCAAAAATTGTTTATGCAAACTTTAGCACAATTTCTCAGCATTTTCTGGTGACTATGTCATTAAGTTATTTGTTTTGTATTAATTAACAATATATGGTTAATTCAGTTGCAAGGCTACGTAAACATTTATTTATGTATTTATGTCAAATAAAATGACTGCCCCCCCCAAAAAAATAAATCCTCAGCCCCCCCAGCTGAACTCTTCTGGAGCCGGGTCTGATAAGGAGGTTAAATGTTTTAATGATGCAGACATTTGTATTTAAAGTTAGAGTCCAGTTAGCAGCCAGGCAGCTCTTTCTTCCCTCTCTCACTTGCTCAGGGGAGACCGAGTGAGAAACATAAATATTGTGCATGTAATGTAACTTCAGTCAGGTTGCACGTTGCTACACAATCTCTAGTCTCACTAATCAGCATCACTCCCTCAGACCTCTGCATCGACTCTTTGCATTATGTTCACCAAAAGGCCTTGAAAATAATCATACTCTCAAATAAGACGTTCGTTCGTTCTATGCTAACGAACGACTTATTTATAAACCAGGGAGTCGGATCAGCTCATCGTTTGAACTCCACTGCCCTTTTGACAGTCACACATCTTTATAAGCACAGTACTATTAATACGCACGTGCTAAAAATAATGCAAGTTATTTTGGGTGATCCTGCGTCCCTCGCTCTTACTCTCTGAAAAAGTCGATTTCACTCCAAATGTCTACATTTAAATTTGAATAAAAATTTAAAAAAAAAATCAGTTCACCTCACATCGACAGGTTTGCTTTTAGTAACTATCAACATTTCAGGAGCGAACGTGGCTCCGGGCGGGGCCTTCTCCTCACCTGGGACATTTTGTCTTTGATATAATTGGTGAAATATTAAAATCAGTTTGCAAGAACAAAGAGAACGGACTTGTTTAAAACATCCTGTTACGATTTGCATTCAGTGTGTTGTTTTTGCCAGAGTTTAGAGATTTATTTACAGCTCCGACTTTGAAAAGAACACGTGGATTATAATTTCTGTGTCCATCACTTACGTCTCTCCTGGGACATCTGCGTCACTTGTAGTTGGATTTGTAACTGCTTTAACTTATAATATTTCAGGAGGGTTAAAGATTAGTTTTATACAAATGGGAGTTAGTGCTTTTATCCATTGTGCCAGAACAAATCTTAATTTTTGTCAGTGCGAGTGGACACATTTGAATAAATTCAAAGTAATGTCCAATTTGCTAACAAATATTTAAATAACATATAAGCTGAAATATTCTGATTGAAATGCTCAAACTGTTGCGCACCAACTTGTTCAGTAATATATAAATAAATAAATATAAATATATAAATATATAAATTTATATAAATGGTTTAAAGATTTTAAACACCCTAATGATGCTAAAGTCGTGTTTAAACTTCAGTTTTAAAACTCTCACATGGCTTCGTAAAAAAAATTGTTTAAATCTATACATAGCTGTCAATGATTATTCATAAAGGAAGCCTTTGCTTTCCGCAAGGCGGTAGCAGCCAGCTGTGGCACATCTGGTGCAGCTCGGGGCGCTTTTAACAAGAATGTCAAAATATTATATGTCAGGGGTAACCATTTTTAAAATGATGTTTCCACAACTCCCAGTGAACATTTTAAAACAGAAGTCGTCTTAGCGATCCTCAGACTAGCCATGAGCTCATCAGTTTGGTCAGATTTAAACTGCGCCTTTAAACTGAACACAATCTACAACAAGTATGTAATTAAGAGTTTGTAACATTTTCACAGAACCAGTGACACACATGTCCTATATACAAAAACTAAACGAAAACATTAATATATAGGAAATTTGGCATGATGCACATGATTTTATCAATTTTTCCACAACTGGCATAATTTCTTTTTAAGTTGGCACAGCCAAAATGAAACAGGAAGTGACATCAAAGGAAAACTCTACAAAGTAAAACTCTGGTCTTTGATTATTGAAACAATCTTATATGAACTCTGACTCTTCTTTATCTCGCTGATAGGGACTCAAAGCAATCTAAAGAAACGTCAGTCTGTTTATGTGCTGACGTTCCTCTTTGTCATCACTTCCTGTTACTGCACAGCTGTTTGTCTCAGCGCATTGATTGTTTTCTGTCAATACAATTTTAATGTCTTTTCTTTCAAAAAAATTATTCATATTTGTTAGAGAAAAATTGATGTCACATGCACTTTAACATGTTATTTACTGTGTAGACAGACAGACCAACAGGCAGGTAAGCAGGCGGACAGTTAAATATTACATTTTAACATCGGTTAAGTTCCTGGGGAAACCCAATGCAGATATGTTCTTGTTTTTAGTTTTTTACTTTGCCTTACAACCTAGATGTTTTTTTTTTTTTGTTACATTTTTCTTTAAATACTATTTTATTTTTCATTTGTTAAAAAAAAAAACCTAAATTTGTTTGCATCCTTTATGAATGTCTGTTGTTGTCTGTGTTGTTCCATTGTTGTCATCATTCTTTGTTAAACTCAGGTCTCTCTTGTAAATGAGTTCCCGTGGTTCAGTGGGATTAACCTGTATAAATAAAGGTTGAATGAAAAAAGATCCAATTTCCTTGTTGTAAATCTGCTGCTTCTGTCAAGTTTTAGCTCCAAGTCACAACAGAAGTCATCTCAGGGCACTGAACAGAAACATTCACATACATAACCATCCATCCATCCATCCATCCATCCATTTTCTTTACCCGCTTATTCCATTTTGGGTCACGGGGGTCGCTGGTGCCCATGTCCAGCAATCACTGTGCGAGGGGCGGGGTACACCCTGGACGGGTCGCAAGTCCATCACAGGGCCACATAGAGACAAACGAGACAAACAACCATTCACTCTCTCATTCACACCTAGGGACAATTTAGAGTTACCAATCAGCCTAACATGCATGTTTTTGGACTGTGGGAGGAAACCGGAGTACCCGGAGAAAACCCACGCATGCACGGAGAGAACATGCAAACTCCACCCAGAAAGGCCACTGGACCAGGGTTTGAACCAGGGACCTGCTCGCTGAGAGGCAGCAGCTCTACCAGTTGCGCCACCGTGCTGCCCCACATACATAACACGTAACTAAATAACATTATTTATCTGAGCGCACTGCTTTGAGTCTCACTTTGTCACAGAACTCTCATCTTGAGCATGAAGGCGACAGTGGAAAGGAAAAACTCCCTCATGAGGAAGAAACCTTTAGCAGAACCAGGCTCAGGACAAGCGGTCATCTGCTTTGTCTGGTTGGGTTTGAGAGGAACAGATACACGATGGCAGGTTGAGAATCACACGTTAAGATAGTATCAAATGTTTTCATATAGCAGCTTAACAAGCCAACCCTAACTATAGGATTTATCAAAAAGGAAAGTCTTAAGTCCAGTCTTAAAACTGGACAATGTGTCAGCCTCATGGACAGAAACTGGAAGTTAACTGAAAGATCTTCCTCCCATTCTGCTTTTGGAAACTCTAGGAACCACAAGTAAACCTGCAGTCTGAGAGTAAAGTGCTCCGTTAGAAAAATATGGAACAATAATAGCAGTAATATAAGATTGAGCTAGGTTGTTGAGAGCTTTGTAGGTTAGAAATGAGTAAAAGCAGCTCCACTGAGGGACGGCCCTTCGCAAAAAGTAGTTTATTTAAGTGTACTACAAGTATACTTATTTTACACTAGTGTACTTCAAGTTTACTTTTTGTAAACTTTATTTGATATACTTGAAAATTGTATAATTTAGTCCAAACAAGTATTAAATCAGTACACTACAAGTATGGTGTGAAGTATACTTGATATACTTTAAAGTATACTTGCAAAAATAAACTTCAAATGTACTACTTTTTGTTAAAGGGGGTGGGGGTTGGGGGGGCAGGCACGGTCATGTCTGATGTGTGCACACAAAACAAAACAGTGTTAGTCCCCTGGTGTGAGTGATTACTCCCATTCATTGACCCAGTTGGTGAACTAAAGCTGACGATTTGGCAACTGGCCAGAAAGAGGAAAATGATGCTGGGGATACCAGACTCCCCTCCTCCCTCTCACAAAACCCAGTGGTTTAAATGCTCCTTGGATTTAGGTGTTTGAGAAGGATCCGATCAATATGTAACCACCTTAGGATACAGAGGTGTGTGAAATGTGTTTCCTCTCAATGCAAACAGCCGTGGAGCCGCCATGCGGCGTGCGTCAGTCCCGAACACGCCCTCCAACGTGAGAAAATCCTCCGGCTTCATTGAACTTCGCCACGCCTTTGCAACGTAAACAAACGGAGGCTTGACCAATAAGATGCTCCATAGATCAGCCGATGATCAGATGACTGAAAGGGGAAACTATTTAAATGTGAAAGGAGGCTCGTCGGGAGCAGGTTGCACATTTCTGGAGCCGGACTCCTGGAGGCGCGCAGCACCCGGCTCCTCTTTGTCACTCCTGGATTCAAGCTCTCTGCGCCATAAAGAAAACAGAAAAAAGGAACGTAAAGGGTATTTTTAGACTCCGGCAGGGTGCTTTGTTTTAATTTAAGTGCTGATCTTGGCTGTGACTGAGAAATGAATCCCAAAGCCGTCTTTTTCTGGACGTTCCTTCAGTATTTCTTCTCGTTCGCTATTGCGGAAAACCGTGTTCCGAAAGGTAAGCTGTCTGCTCATTCATTCCTATTATTATTTTTTTTTTTTTTTCTGTTTTAATCCTAATGACAAGAACCAGACACAAAGGGCTTGCGCGTGGCTTTAAATTAAGAATAATTTTGAAGGAGAGGATCTGAATATGTGGCTCCAAACCTGCGCGTCCCGCAGCGACTGAAGATGATTTTTAACAAATACTCTCTAGATAATTAAAATAAGTGGCCGGCAGAGCAAACTAAAAGAACAGGGGGTGGATTTAGTGGCTGTGAGTGAGACGTGTCCTTTTTGGGGAGCTCGCGGCTCCCACGCACGCCACGTCTTTAGGAACCTACATCCGGGTTTTACCACCGACCAGTGCGCGCACCGGCTCAGCTGGAGCCACTTTGGTCTGTGGGGGCCCAACTACCACACAAGGTGCTGGTTTCAGACCAACTCGATGACCAAACTGGGGTTTCTAATTTTTATTTCCATGAGTTGCATCAGAACAACTTGTCTCTTCCTTCTACGTTAGTTTGCAAACATTTACCTCAAACCCTGTAAGATCCACCCTTCTATTAATTTGACCTAACCTCCATGACTCATGGGCTGCATCTGTGTACACTTAATTGTGTGGCTACTGAACACATGAGCTTTATTTATTATTGTTTGCACAAATATCTAATTAAAAGAACACCTTTTACTTAACCTTTTTTTTTTTTTT